ATCCGAAACCTTTCTTTATGAACGAAGCATTAGATAATGTTGTCAAATTAAAGAGTACAATTAAGATGTAGCGCGACAATGAAAGTAGCGTGTATTACGTTTAGTCGGTTAACAGGCGCCATTGACAGCTCTCTCGTCGTTTGCGCTCGCGTTCCTATTTTGTTGAATTTATCTTGTTTCTTTGTTTTGTTTTTGTTATTAAGTTATTTAAGTTTGGGTTATTCATCGTTTCTAATTAATGTGTTCAAATATATTGAAGAAACTTGGCCCAAAGACACATATCCGTACAAGAAAGAAATCCGTACATCAGATTCAGAATAGTTTCTATTTAAACATGATAATGAAATAGACCCATTTTTTTTTTTTTTTAAGTGTGGAAAATCATCGAATGACTGCTCCCGTCTGGGTGATGCGGGAGGGAGTGTCAGACTCTTACTGACTAAAAACCACCCCGTTCCTTCTCCTGCACGTCGAGCCAGAGCCCCGGTTACCCGTTAGGTTCTCCGCGACGAAATAGACCTATAGGCTAGGCTCTTGTACGATTTAGGTATTTGTGCTTGTATGTCTGTGTGTGACAAATGAACAATTTTAAAGTGAATTTATTTTAAATTAAAACACGAGAAATATTCGAAGTAATAGAAGGTTAAGTATCTCTGTGTCACGTGGTTTTGTTTGTTTACCTTTAGTTAATTACCTAAACAGATGGACTATAGTGAAATAAAACCACAACTCGAGATGTTATTGTTATTTTTTATTTATTAATTTAATTCATCAGTTACAATAATGTTCGGAACAAAAATAAAAATTCTCTATTTATAATAATAATATTATTAAATTACACGATTTCTAACTTATTATTTGTTAACATGCAATCATTTGCTACATAGGTACATAAATATTTACATTTAAAAATACATTGGACAAATCCGGGCTATTTATGGAAGAATTTAAAACAACCATAGTGAAAACGAAAGTATTAAAATTGATAATTTTAAGTCACAAAATGTCACAATAAGTTTTGCCGCCAAAACAAAAAACTGAAGCCTCGACATTATTAACGATAGAAATACGGTCGCTATGTATTGTCTGAAATATCATAATAGATACAAACTTCAGTAGAAATAAAATACTTAATCCAAGTACATAAAGTACCTTCTGTACATGAGCATTTTATTCTGTCATGTCAAAATGAAAATCGTGCCCTTTACATCAAGGTCCAACCGTCACAATCATAATATGAGGTTGAAAATATATATTTTTAGTCACATTACAAGAATCAAGGTATGTTATTAACATAAAAAATAAAGAAAACAAGTATGTTTTATGACATAGTTAGAAATTAAGGCTTAAGAAAATTATTGCATGGCGTACCGAGCTGGAAGTCTCGACATTGATTACGACAAAATTTGATATTCAATTTGTTCTTTTCAGTTCGAGATTAATTTGCCCTGTACACATTTTGTTGCGTTGTATTTTATTTCTTGTAATTGTGACGATGGAAAGTTATATAATATAACATAGCAAAAAACAATATTTTGCATTTTTAAGTTATAAAGGACGAATAGTTTCTACAATTATTATTTTAGCTACGATAGTCGAAAGTTTTAAGTACAAAAAAATTTATTTTTACTCAGATTTGGCACATCATATGTAAGTAAATAATAAAAAATAGTCACTATTATTGTTTTGGCACTAATTAAGTAGGCCTACATCTAAAGATATTTGTTCCAAAAACTATTTTAGGACCGAATTTTCATTACAATTTATTTGCTAGTCGCTAAAACTCCAATTTTTTTATAGATTAAGTATTATTGAAATATTAAAAGTGACTCATTTACTTTTAAATTGTAAGTGGAGATGTGTTATTTGATACGCAGTATGCAGATGGGAAAATAAAGATTGATTCAATGCAGAGACATTAGCTATTTTTATAGTAAATTATCTGGTTTTTAATGAAGCCATGAAGCTATATGATCTTTATTTTCATCCATGTAGACATACCTACTAAACAATTGGGTAGTTTCCAGGGTATCAAAATTAAAAATCTAATTAGTCCGTCAGTTAGATAATGAAAAAATATTAGACACTTATTTTTTTCTTGTCTCGTATTAACTTGCAATCCTGAGATACAATGGCGCTAAGTTTAGGAGTGGGAGGTTGTTACGTCATAACGTGCTACAAAATGTGGCACGCTGTGACGTCACACGATATTTCAAATTAATATAATCGTCGAAAGTATTTAATTTTGTGAGAAAAGAAAAAATATGTGTGTATGTAAAGTCATAAATTAATGTACCAGACGGACATTAAGATAAAATTAGGAAACTACCCTATTGCAGACTGTTCATAACTGTAACAGATTTCGACATATACCTATTTATCCATTATTTTGCGAAAAACCTGTTTGTTAACAATAATCGAGTCTAAATTTTAATGGTGTGGTGTTTAACAGCAAAAATCTACATTTCCTTACAATAATTATTGCTTTCTAGATTTAATTCTACAACATCAATGACATCTAAATGTGAGAATCACAAAACTTATTTGACTAAACTTTGAATATTGTCAAATAGAGGAACTTTGCACGCTTACTTATGACTAACCGCTAAAAACTTAATTATTTTTAAAAAGTTTTGAAATGAAATACCATTATTGGTGTTTACGTGAACTTATTCAAACATTTATTATTAATTTTCGGCAGTACTACATCAGATTCTCCCTATTTTAATGGGAGATTTTTTAATTGGGTAACATTATTACACACTCAAATAAATCAAATAAAAAAGTGTAACAGCTGTTCTATATGATCTTGACAGTCCATTTGAAAACGAATATATCTACTAATACACATAATAGACTTGTTGATTTTTTAATTTCATAAATGACAACTCTTTCATCGTATTTTCGGATCTTTTCGGAGTTATAACAATTCAGTTAGGCATTCTACTCTTTGCAACGAGAAAGAATCCAGCAAAAACGTTTAAAAATAACTGTTTTTAAAGGATTAAAGTTTTCAGCGGTATAATAATTTAAAAACATTAGTTTTATTTTACTTTTAAATCCTTATATTTTTTACACTATTTATTGAATTAAGATAAGTTTTTGAATCTTTTCGAACTATTTTTGTCACTGGCAACTTCTAGAGGACTTAAAGTACGTTAAGATTTGAAATAGAGTTCAGAGTGTGTGTGTAATTTTTATGTTAACGCGATCGATGCGTTTGTGACGTCCGGCGCTCTGATTGGCTGCTTTATATTGACATTTATATTACATTTCGGCAATTAACTATAACTATGTTTACCGTGTTCTCACGTGTCTACTGTGTGAAAGAATATTTATAAACAAAGGTGGACTTTCCAGCCACATGAGAGCCCAAGATAGACGCCAGTAATCAAGAAACAGTCGCCGTAGCCGAAACCGCCATGGAGGATTACTATTATTATTATTATTATTATTGACCAACCAATCATAGGGCTATCATAAAAATAAACGCACACTAGGAACTCAAGAATAAATAAAAATAATATTTAGACAAAAATACATAGCTTTAATTAAAGGCTTGTTCTTATATTACAACTCTACGCCCGGGTTTTAAGTAATTAATCTTATTTCTTTTAGTTTCTAAGTACCTAAGTTATAATACCACACTATTTGAATATAAATACAATAATTGTCGACCATATTTTATTTTTAATAAATTAAATCGGGACATACAACATTTTTTTAAATAAATTGAGACCTGGATAATTTTTAATTCTATAAATTTGGTACATAATCGGAAATTGATGGTTGGCTTGTCATCGTCTCATTGAAATCCTACTTTTTATTTATCTTTTTTACGTCATTAGGTTTTATAAAGATTTTTCTAAATCCAAAAATTACTTAGCGAATGACAATGATGCGTTTTGACTGAACTTAAAACATAATACGCAGTAGTTTGAAGTTAATAAAATACAATCAATCGTCATTGTATACACAATTATAGAACAATAAGTTGCGGTCACCGGTGAACGCTAGGTGTTTGACAGTTTAAGACTTTTTTTTTCTCCTTTGGCAACTGAGTCTCCAATACGGTATTGTCGACTATACTGCCAGTGTCGAGTGGTGACGGCAGATTAATGGACTATGTATTTATAAGTACATATTGTATTGTGTCAAATTAGTTCAAATCATATTGACCAGAAGTCTTAGTATAAGAATTCAAGCTTAATAAGTACCTAATCGGTCTAGCTCAGGAAGACTTTGGAGTTAAAAACTTTTCTTCCTTATTAGTACATTGTGTGATATTTTCACTAATTGTCAAGAACCAGTTTTGTATAACTTCTGTTAAAATGTAGGTAAATAATATAAAAATCTGAAACCCGTATGTGCAGATAAATAATAATTTCTACAAGAAACATAAACCCTCTATTAAAACAATAAAAAATACATTAAGTTACTCGTACAATCACAGTAATATAAATAATATAATTAAGATATTCTGCATTGCATCACAGTACAGTTTTGCCGCATTGTTTTATTTACATTTACCCTGAAGTAGGGTAATCTTATTATATTTGGTAACACTGGCTTTATTGCGGCAACACTGAATTAACTGTCACTGTCAACGCAGCAGGCAAAGGTACGACCTTATACAGCCAGGCAAAGGTATGTTATTTATACAGTCTAGTAAGGGAGGTTGTCTCTTAAAAAGGCCTGCTTGGTGTAACCTCTTCGGAGGCATTTGCCCCACCACGACCGCTGCGTGCACATCTTCACAGGCTTTAGAATAAAGCATTTGGTTTGAACGACATTGAAGAACAGTTTTCCCACCATATTTGACACTGACGTGTCAGCCAGTTTGAGGCACGCGCGGAACCTGTGGATATAGAAAAAATAATTAGAAATCTTATAATAATTCTAATAAAGCTGGAGGTGTTTCGTGTGAATTATTTATGTTTAGAAATTGAAGTTTTCATTTTTTGGTCTGACAATACTTTTTAGTTTTATTAAATTATTAGCTTTAGCTATCACATTAAACTCTGAAAATGCTGATTGTAAATAGTTAAATATAAATACACGACTCATGCGATCTGGTTTTTATGTCCAGCATTTTTTTTGTAGGGAATTCAATTCTTAAAGTTATTAACATTAAATTTGTGGAAATTAAGTCAACCGCACATCAAGCTACGACAAACTGTAATTGATTTTCAACCTTGTCTTCTTATTATAAATGTTGAAATTATAATAAAGATGGAAGCTGTAGTCTGGAAAGCATAGTTTTTAGGGTCGTAACTATAAGATACGAAGTCTAGGCGCTGTAACCTAAGTAGCTGAGTTTAGTGAGATTGGTTTTTCATTTCGCCATTATCTACTTAATCAAAATGATCATTGTTTGAATATTTTTTGAGACAGGCAGTTTAAAGTTGGAGTTACGCATTGCAGCGGTAGTCTCGACATTGATAACTATAAAATTCAGTCGATAAGTCTTGAATTCCTCAACTCTATTTTTGGCATTTTTTTAAGGAATTAGTGACTTAACGACCCATTTCCGTCGTTATCAGTGTATAGACTTCTAGGCAGAGCCGTATTAAGGGCAACCTAGGCAAGTACCTAGGGCCCCAGGCTACAGAGACGCTTGTCTAGGGCGCTTTATAGGTTTAATTCGCTTCAGCTCCCAGGACTGTAGTACAGGTAGATATGTATGTGTGCGCGCGCGTGTGTGTGTGTGTGTGTGTGTGTGTGTGTGTGTGTGTGTGTGTGTGTGTGTGTGTGTGTGTGTATGTGATGTAGAAATATAGAACGGTATGACATGTATAAATAAAATATGTCAATCAAATAAAACACAACTTTATGGACTTAGCAATAAGTGCGGTATTAGCACGTAAAATTTGACTGCTGACATAAGATTGACCGTTCATAATAATAAACATAAAGAAGCGTATGTTATGATAATTTTCGTTAACTTTACATCGTGAGAACAGCATATCAAGCTACCCCAACGTATTCAATACGATTTCAACTTTATCATTTAAAGCTAAAGTCGAAATTACATTGCAGATAAACAGTTGTAACAACATTCGTAAGGATTCAAGATGGCGCGCGTACTTATATGCATTCGCGCCAATTTATGACGTTGACCGCCATAAATTGACAGTTTGACAGATGCTATTATTTTTTAATACGCGTAAATCATAACATAGATAATAAAAAGACTATCCGTTGAGTTTGGGATCCGTATATAATAAAATTTTAAATAGTAGGTTAATCTAAATTTCGTAGAACCATGGTACGATACTGCTGAACCAGCTCGACCGGAGTAATACCACGGCCTCACAGAAAACCAACGTGAAACAACGGCTGCCTTGCGTCTCTCGGTGTGAGTAAGGCCACTGGAGGGTCAATTACCTTCTCCAATCTATCAAATCCCCAATGTTCAAATCCCTTAACTGAAAGACCGGCAACGCACTTGTAACTTCTCTAGTCTTGCGGGTGTCCATGGGCGGCGCCGCTTGCTTACCATCAGGTGATCCGTCTGCTATTTAGCCGACCTCACATAACATGTTATGTCACCTTTTTTCATATTACGGCACTTAATGCCACTGTACAATGTAACACCGAAATTTCACTATTTATGTTATGAGTCCCATGTAATAGGGGGTGAGCCTATTGCCATATACCGGACACAATTCCAGACTCCATGCTATTACTGAGATTTTTAAAAAAAACCCAGTAGTTCTTTGCCCGACCCGGAACTTGCCCGGCAGGCGCACTTGCAAGCAATCGGCCAACGAGGCAGTTTGTTTAAGCATCAAAGTTTTCTAAAAGTAGAAAACATTAATTGTCCATATGGGGCCACCTTCTATAGAAGTAAAGACAGACATACAGATTTGCTGTTTTATTGTAATTCGTACGATAAAACGTTAGATTTCAACGCTTAACTTTTGCGCTACCATAATGTTAAAGTTATGGTGGTCTTAATCTTAAGTATCTGATTTACGGCACAGATTATAGCTAATTCTGTTTGCCCACAGATGCAAAAGACATTTTAATTTTACTTATCCTTACTAATATTATTATAAATCAGAAAGTGAGTTTGTTTGTTTGTTCCGCTTTCACATCGTAACTACTAATCCGATTGCTTTGAATTTTTGCAGACGTAAAGTTAGAAGTCCGAATTAAATAATAGGGTACTTTTTATCCATATATTTAGAAAAATTTGATATTCCCGAGGGAAAACAAAAGTATTGGTATAGATTGCGCTGTGTGTATTGGTATATGTCACATAGGCTACTTTTATCTTTTTGTGACGCGAGCAAAGTCGCGGGTAAAAGCTAGTATTATATATAAAACTGAAGAGATTGTTTATTTGAACGGCGCTAATCTCCGAAACTACTAGTCCGATTTGAATAATTATTTTTGTGTTGGATAGCCTACTTATCCAGGAAGGCTACAGGCTATAAAACATCACGCTAAGATCTATAGGAGCCGAGCAGCGGGCGTAGCAAGTGAACATTAACATGAATATGACGCCATCTTAATATCACCATTTTTAGTAGGGACAAATCTTTTATAGACTATTTACTATGGACAGTCAGCACCATGCATTTTATTGCATTAGTTATGGTTGGGTCGTAACAAACTGGCTGATCATGGCGATCATTATAGCCGGGTTTGATTCCCGTTATTGGATTTTTGAGTGTTAAAAGAGATGTGTGTTTATGGTAAAGTAGAAAGCATTTATGATCATCGACCAACGGTCTTCTTACAGCGGGTGTCGTTAGAGTCGATTACTGTACGCTACACTTCATTTGATTTATATATACATACATGCATACATAACTTCACGCCTGTCTCCCATGAGGGTAGGCAGAGACGTAGACGTATGGAACGCCAATTACTACGATTCCTACATACCTCTTTCACTTCATCAACAGTCATCAATCTTTTCATGCATGCTCGTCGGTTAAGGGTACATTTAATTTGGCCCTTCTTTAACTCGTCGAGTACCGGTTTTGCAGACACAATTATAGAACAATAGGTTGCCGTCACCGGTGACCGCTTGGTATTTGACAGTTTAATATATCGCCAATCTGGTCAGTACATGTCCGTCTAGGGCGTCCTCTACCGACGGCCCCATTCATATCCGCTCTGTATACTTCTTTCGTTACTCTACTTTCATCCACCCTTTCTACACGTCCAAACCAGCGTAACATTCCCTTTTTGTTCCTTGCCACTACATCATCTTTCGATTGAAACTTACTTACAATTTGGACCTCTGTCTAGTCCTTGGAATAGGCTAGTTTCCTAAATTTTATTTTAATGTCCGTCTAGTACATTAATTTAAAACTTTAGACACGTATTTTTTCTTTTCTCACAAAATTAAATACCTTCGACGATATATTAATTTGAAATATCGTGTGACGTCACAGCGTGCCACGTTTTGTAGCACGTTATGACGTAACAACCTCCCACTCCTAAACTTAGCGCCATTTTATCTAAGTATTGCAACCTTAATACGAGAAAATAAAATACGTGTCTAATATTTTTTCATTATCTAACTGACGGACTAATTAGATTTTTAATTTTGATACCCTGGAAACTACCCAATTGTAAACTGAATTTAAAAAGGAATCTTACAATCTTATTCTTATTCCTATCTTTATTAAAAAAGCTGAAGAGTCTGTTGGTTTGAATGCGTTTATATCCGAAACAACTGCGGGTTAGATTTCAATAATTCTTCGTGCATTTATCTAGAAATACTATAGGCCATAAAACTTCTATATACGGCTATAAGGCTAAAGTGTATAAGCCATCACGTTACGATCAATAGGAACGGAACAGAGAGAGTGAAACCGCCTGGAAGTAGTTTTTTTAAAAAACATTGCCCCACATTAGGATTTTCTCCTGTGTCGTAGATGCGTTTACAAACATACAAGTTCACATACACATGACACCCAGACCCGAAACAACAATTTGTGGATCACACAAAGTGTTGTTCCGTGCGGTAATCGAACCCGCGACACGTTGCACGGCAGCCGGTTGTCCAGCCACCGCACCAACAAAGTTTTTTTTTTTTTTTTTATGGAATATATAAGCCGGTAAATGAGCAGACGGATCACCTGATGGTAAGCAATCGGCGTCGCCCATGGACACCTGAAACACCAGAGGCGTTACAAGTGCGTCACCGGCTTTTTGGGGATTAGGAGTTTGAGGATCGTTGGGGATTCAGGGATTGGGGAAGGGGAAGGTAATTGGGCCTCCGGTAACCTCACTCACACGACGAAACACAAGCGTTGCTTCACGTCGGTTTTCTGTGAGGCCGTGGTATCACTCCGGTCGAGCCGGCCCATTCGTGCCGAAGCATGGCTCTCCCACACTTACAATTAGTTAGTTATTTAAATATAATCTAAAATAAGTTATCATTTCCTTCAGAAAGTCCGACAAAAAGTGTCGGCAGACATTTTGTTTGACATAGTTACTGTCAACTTGGTTGGGGTAGGTCCTGAGACAAACTGTCAAACAATTAAACACCGGTGACACTTAGCTCTAAAACTTTTTACATTACTATACTTATATAATTTAGCTATCTATTGAGAACCTAACGGGTAACCGGTGCTCCGGCTCGACGTGCAGAAGAAGGAACGGGGTGGTTTTTAGTTTTAGTCAGTAAGAGTCTGACACTCCCTCACGCCTCACCCAGGCGGGAGCAGAAATCGACGATTTTCCCCCTTAAAAAAAAAAAAAAATTAAGTACTTATATTATATCATTGTTATATTATAGAGTTGAAGAGGTTTGTTTGTTTTGTACAAGTCAGATTTGAATAATCCTTTTTGTGTTGAATAGTGCATTTATCGAGGATGGCTATAGGCTATAAA